TTATTAAATGAGTATATGCAGTGGTTATGAAAAAATAATTTGCATAAGTTATTTTTAAAATGAATTATGTGATTAACATGAATGAAATTTGAAGTTTAAAAAATCAAATTTTCCATTTTATTTTTTTATTAATAAATATTAAATTATTATTGCTGATCATATTATACTTTTAAAAAATTAGATCATGTAGCCTAACAGAAAGGTTGAAAGTCCTGTATTATTTACATATTAAATTTAAATTTTTGATTGAATGAATGTGGTCAAGAAATAAAAATTATCCAAGTCCTTCTTATTACACAACTAGTCAAAAGACTTGTGTATGCACATTATACTTCATAAAAAACTTTTAGTTATTTTATAAGACTAAGTATATTTTTATTTTTTCAGAATATTCTTTGTCTCTTTTTTTTTGTAATGTTATTATAAAGCTGATTTTATCATTTTACTATGCCATTTTAAGGTATGTATTATTATACAATGTGTAATGTATGTGTTTTTAAATTGTTAACATTATTGTACTTCACAACTTCTGGTATCTGGAAACAGAGGGGAGCAAGTTGGGGGCGCATCCCAACTTGCAGGAGAGAACTAACTGAGTATTATTATCCTCAATTTTTATATTTCTTATGTATCTTTTTTTTTTTAATCTTATTATGAATTATCAGGAACTGTTATCCATTATCGAAAATTTGAATTTAATTGTTATCACTGTATTTTTTACCTATTGTAGGTTTTTTATTATTTTTACATATAATTAGAGCCTTTGAGAAATATCAAGGGCCCCAGGGACAATTTTCCAGGGCCCTTTCAAATATTAAATTTACTACTAAAACTCAACCGAAGCCTTTTATAAAGTCGCAACAAAAATATAGATGTTATGTAATTATTATACAACATAAATCAAGTTATCTACAGTGCCAGCCTTAGGGTGGGGCAATTACCCCTGGATGCCGGCCGATCTTGAGGAACGCTCGCCACTGGACAGAAATAAAAAAAATTCAAAACGTATTAAAATAATTAATTTTAGACTATCAATAAAGCAAATGTATAAGAGAAATGTTGAATTAAATAAAATTCAAATATTATGTAATAAAAAACAGGTTAAGAAATAAATTTAATTTTTAAAATATATTTTTTAAACCAGCACTGGTTATCTATACTTTACTTTAATTTGAATTTATAAGTTAAAAATAAAATCTGTGGGCAGCGACCCCGACTGACCTTCCCTCCGCCTTAAATTAACATTAATAAATAATTGTTAGCATTAAACCCCTGTTCTTCAACTATTAATAAATAATCAACGAAACTTAATCCTTAATTTAAAAAATCTTATTTAAAAAAAAATATTATTAATTATATTTTTGGTTTATTTTCATTATTAATTATCTTAAAATATTGAACAATTTTTAATCATAAAAAATAGTAATTAATCTTTCATCTACATCTTTGTTATAATTACTATTTTGGTATCTACTCTACTGTCCTGAATTATATTGATCCATGCCTCTGGTTATTTAGTTCTATATACCAGGGGTCTAAAATATGAGTCAACTTTTTTTTTTAGAAGTTTAATTTAAACTTCCACTTACATTTTTTTAAACTTACATATAGTTTTTATTGAACTTCTTTATTATAACTTTTTGATAAAGTTATTTTAAAACTTTTATCCAAATAACTTTTTTAATATAAGTTCACTACAAACAGTTATTCTGAAACGTATTCATAAAAGGTTTTCAGGCAAAAAGGAAGTAATTTCGAAAATATATTTTGTACAATTATACAAAAAAAAAGTAATTTCAGAAATGCCAAAATTGAAAATTTATTGTTGTCATCGTCATACCAAGATCATCAAAATAAACACCAGTAGGTATAAACATTATATTTATTTACATTTCATTGCGGGCATTTTTATTTTTTTAAATATCCCTATATATACACAAATTTTAATTTATATATCGCTGTAATCTACGCAATTAAATATTAAATAATACCAACGATAGCATTTATGAAAACCGCATATCTACATGTTCATACTATTGTCAGAGTTCGTATTATATTACTCATATTACTTATGGTAGCCTGTTCTAATCTTTGGTTCCTGCATTACAATTATTATCCGTTACAATCTCTTATTTCACCTTTAGTTAATTATCAAATCTTTCATATTTTATATTTAACTATTTTTATATAAAAAATTAATGTGAAATGGTTAATTATTTCAAATAAAAAAAATAAAGGTACTTTAGAGAAAGCTAATATTGAAAATTAACCATTTAAACCCTGTTAGAGAACATCAATGAGAATAAAACCTACATTATATTAAAACTGCTTAATAATACACTGAGTTTAATAAAAATCGTTAGATAGTTAGAGCCATCGTAAAAATGTGTTAAATCGGTGATATAAAGTACCACTTTGGATTTGCCAATTTTGAAAAAAATGTTGCTGTAACATCCCAGGCTTAGAAAAACCTCAAATATGCAATTTCAGTTTCGGACGACTTTTGGTTTTTCAGCTAGGGTGTCACACACAGACCATTTTGTGGGACTTGGTTATTTGGACTCAGGGTACATCAAAACGTTTTATTTCCGTTGAACTCAGATTTGAAAATTTTCACGATCGCAATACTTACCCTTACTATATATTACATAAAAAGGAAAGTGAAAGTAAAAAAATGAATAAAAAGTTCCTCATTTGTGTCAATCTCTATTTCGAACATTATAAAGTTACAATAATAAAAGAAAGTGTTCTGAAAAGAGGTGATAATGACTGTTTTGATTTGAAATGATTAGATAGGAACAATTATCAACATTTATAGAGAGAATCACTTTATTATCATAAAAGGGTGCTGCCCAATTACATTGGGTTGCTTTAAACACAGCATACTTATTAATCGCTACAGACAATTAATTAATTTATTTAATTCCATTTTTAACATTTCTTTTTAATTAAATCGTTATCTTGAATAAAGACAATAATTTCCTTCTAATAAATTAGGTTTTTCTTATAGCTACATCCTTGCAATAAATCACATAATTTATAAAAGAATTTTCTTCTTTTAATTTGTAACTAATTTTTAACAAAATATTCCATACGCAACATATCTTAAAAATTGGAATATTTTGAACCTTATTCAATATATTAAAATATATGACTTATTGTTAGTGAAAAATTTCAATCATTTTTAAAAACTAGAAAAAAAAAAAATTACAGATATTTAGAATTATTTTCCTTCAAATAAAATGACTTATATTTTTTTTTCTTTCATACTGAAACTTTTCCTACAATAGTAGTTTAAAAAAATAATAGTATTTAGAAAGACAATACTTTAATCCTTCCTCAAAAAAAAAAGTATATGTATGTATTATTATTAATAAATCATATTAGGTAGACTTTAAATTTGAAGAATTAGATAAAGGTAGTTTGAATTTGTCTGATGACTGAAATTATTAATTTTGCGAAGACATTTTGAATTGATAATATAGGAAGTAATAGCAGATTCAAGGTCACCCTGTTTGATTTCAAAACAATCTATTTCTATTTATAAAACCTGCTTCACTATCCAAGGACACATGCAAGTAACAATGTATGCATCAACTCTCAATCATAAAATTATTATTTTAAATCAACCTTTAGAAAAATGTTTTGTTTTCAATTTTTTTTATTTTATAACTACATATATTTTCAAGGTTTTAATAACATTAATTTTGGACAAATAAAGCTTTCTTTATTTATTTAAATAAGTATTTTGTTTTTTCTATAAGTAGTAAGGTTGTTGGACTAGCGAAACAGAACATTATTAAGTATATTTTTGTAATAATCTGTAAACTTACTCCTTTATGTTCAATGGTCATATCTGAATGGATTAAATAAATAGTTCCTATCATTATGTCTGATTACTGAGCTAAAAACAACTCAAGAATACAGTTAGTTATACCTAAGTGTGAAAAATAATTTAATATAATCCTTGACTTAATAACTATCTATATCTGCGATTTTATAATTAAATAGTTCTACCTTGTATCACCTAATTGGTAGTTCTTGAAATGTTAAAAACATCAAGTTCTTTTTTATTTTAGATTTCATTTCATGAAGTTTTTCAATGTTTACATTAAAAAGTTTTTACTAACATGGTTTGTTCAAAACTAAACAAAACTTAATATTCTTCAGAGTATTTTAAATCTTCAGTTCTTCCCCTCTGTGCTATAATTACATCAACAGTATAAAAATGAAAAATTCTATTTCGGTAAATTTTACAAAGGAAAATAATGTATAAATGAAACAGATTTAGTTACTATGGTTTTTATTATATAGAACAAACCGTACTTAATTATTGATAAAAGTCACTTATGTAATCAAATATGTTAAGATAAGACAGGTTTGAATTATCTACTGTGTATTGATTTCCTCCACAACCTGATCTAGCAACATTTAGTTGTCCATAAAATAGAGTTCTATTGTGCCAATTCTAAAATCTAAAAAGTTTATCACTATAATGATGTAGAGATGGTTGACCGTTGATATAATATGAGAAGGAGTTAGTCGAGGGTGCGGTCAAATAAATAAAAAAATTAAAATATATAAATTATTTTAATATGTGGCAAAAATTAAAATAATTTATATATTTTAATTTTATTTATTTATTTGACCGCACCCTCGACTAACTCCTTCTCATTTATCACTATACTTTTTTCATAATTTCTGAAAATGATACCTTATTGGAAAGCTACGTTACCATGATTGCACATATGGGCCAGCAGTATGATTTTAAGTGCGTTTTTGTTTGATTAAAACATAATTAATATAAACTAACTCAACTATTTCTTCATTAAAAATATTATACGAAAGGTATCATTAAAACTTTAAATACTTCAACAACTAAGCCAAACAAAAAATATAACAGGTTTGAGTATTTTAATTAAAATAAAATTAAAGTAAAATTAAAAATTAAAATAAAATTAATAACGAAATGAGAAAGGTTGAAATAAAACATCCTTGGTCTGTTACTAACAATCAAAATGTTTATTTCAAATAATAGTTACAAAATAAAATGGATGATTACAAGATAACATATTTATTAAAAATAGTATATGAAATAGATTCAAGTAATAATATCGTCAATTCATAAAATTATGACACAAATATATTGTAATATTAAGTAGAAGTACAATTTTCAATTATGCAATGTCTTGACAACAAAAATCAAATACCACCAATCATACCCACATTAAACTAAATAATAGAATGTCTAACTATATACAATTACTAAGTGAAATAAAATAGGGATTTAAACATTATAATTACTTTAAATTCTACTAAATAATTTCACTCGAATAAAAGCAATTTGAAAAAATAAAAAATATGGCTGTCTAAACGATCTAGGTGCAGGCAAAAGATGCAACGGAGGTGCCAGAAATATTTTTTTATTAAAAAAAAAAAAATTAATTTTGATTATAACCTAGTAACATTTTCGAATACAATTGACAAGCTAAATGTTAGTAACATGCGATGCTTGCGCTATGGGTTAACAATTTTAAAATAAAAATACAAAACAAAACAGCCTCCCTCCTCAATCAGTCCTTACTACATCTAAAGTTTTCTCTCCTTTAGATCTCGTTTTTATCACAGATACCTTATCGCAGTAACAGGCACCTCTTTAATATACTATTATGTAATTATACAAATACAAAAATTTGATGGACGAGTGCTAGATAAATCAACACTTTAATACATTATCATAGCAGACAAACATTAAAAAAAAAAAAAAAATTAAAATGCTAACAAGTAATTCTTTTTGAGAAACAAATTTTTAACATTCAAGGGGCTCTGAAGAAAGAAGTTGTTCAACAAAACAATTTCTTGTTTAACATGCCATATTTGCTTTAAATAAATTTCATTAAAATAAATTGCGAAATGAGAAATAAAAATAAAAAAAGAAAAGTAAAAGAAATTAGAACAAATTTGACAAAAAGGTCCCCATCTTAAAATTCATAAAATAATGGCATGGTGAGAGTGATTCAATTCACGAAGCGGAGTCGACTTTTACAAGGTGTGGTAGTAGTTCTCCTGCCTGGAAAGGTAAAACTTCCAAGACAGGAAACCGATAGCTACCAGGCCGAGACCCAAGGCAAATCCACCTATAACAAAAATAATATTTAGATAATAAATATATCATTCATACACATCAATATTTCATTTTATTAATCATATGTTCTAAGAGTCAAAGTCAGTTAGCCCTGGAGCCAGGGCCCAAAAATCGACCTGATCGCAGGCGAAGGTTTGATTGTAAATTACGAAAGTGTATGTTATTCTGAGTAAAAAGAACCTTGTCTGCCGTTCCAGAGCCGCTGCTTTCAAAAATGGCGGTTGATTTAAAGAATATTAGGTCTGTAATTTGAGGATCGAAACGGGAAATCCATTGCGAAAAATGTGGGAAAAGTTTTTATTTTTTTAACTTGTACATATGGGTTCAGACATGTAATAAACAAAATTGCTAACGCGGTCCACCAAGTGAAAACTTTTTACAGCCAAAAAATTCAGATTTTTCCCATATTTTTTGGGTTTTTCATCTATAACTCCTAAACGATGCTTCAAAGCGAAAAATGTATTCTTTAATAAATTAAAGAACGTTAAATTTTGCGTCCAACGAATACATAAACTTTATAGTTTGGTTAACTATTAAGGTATAAAACCACGGTCAACCAACGCTGATTTTTACCAAATTTGTCAAAAACTTACACAAATTACTTACTATAAATGGCCCTGTAACTTGGAAATGAGTTCCCTAAGAGGAAAAACCCATAGAATCAAAGTTATAAAGCATTAAATTTTGAGTCCAATGAGTACCAACTAATTTAATGTAGTTGACTTACTCCGAACAAAATCGGTAATTTCCCGAAGGTTGGAAATTGAAAATGAAGGTAAACGTGATTTTCAATATTTTAACAGTATGGGTGTCTATTCTACTTACTTATTTTTGTTTAGAGGCTGTTACATGCTGTATAAAAACTTTTCCCACATTTTTCGCAATGGATTTCCCGTTTCGATCCTCAAATTACAGACCTAATATTCTTTAAATCTACCGCCATTTTTTAAAGCAGCGGCTCTCGAACGGCAGACAAGGTTTTTTTTACTCAGAATAACATAAACTTTCGTGATTTACAATCAAACCTTCCCCTGCGATCAGGTCGATTTTTGGGCCTTGGCTCCAGGGCTAAGTTAACTTTTTACTTTCACTTACTATGTTCTATATAGTAAGGTAAAGTATTGTGAAAATTTTCAAATCTCAGTTTTCAACGGAAATACATGCTTTGAGGTCCCGTGAGTCCAAATAACCAAGTCCCACACAAAATGGTTTGTGTGTATGTAATGTACTCGTATGTGGTAAGTCTAGCTCAAAAATGAAAATTCATACAAAACTGATATTATGTACTTAAGATAAGTATATGTTTTAGATGTGACAGCAACATCTTTCTTGCAATCCTCTAACAGGAAGTGCTACATAATATCATCGCTGAAACATATTTTTACAATTTTCTCAAAAATGGCTTGAACGATTTTGATTAAGCTCTGTGTATCATTGTATGATTAAGCGGTCTTTAATATCATTGAGGTCTTATTCCCATTGATACCACTTAAAACGGATTGAATGCTTAAACGTTCAACATGTCTTTTTCTAAAGTTTAAAACCTTTAATTTGGTTTATTTTAAATAATTAACTATCTCTAATTATTAAGAATTATGAAAAAAAAGGCTAAATATAACTTTTGAAAGAATGTTTATTTAGGTCAAAAATGAATTTCCGGAAATACTGGTCAGAAGGTATACATATAATATATTGTTGGAAAGCAGAGAATTTCAGAAAAAAACAATATCTAATATAGAAAGTTGTAGAAAGTAATGGAGAGTGACAAAAAATTATAAATAATAATTTGTGAAAACTAATATTATTTAACGGAAATCACATGTTTTCAAGTAAATTAATTGAAATTTACGAACTAAATTTAACTTTTTTCAAGTTTGAAAAAAAAAAAAAAATTGCTCAACATAGCCAGAAAATAATTTCTATTCTAAGTAGAGAGGCAAGTGAAAGTTGTGTGCTGTGCGCAACAGATTTTTAATGTAAGCAATAGTAACTACATGAAACACAAAAAAGCCCCCTCAATAATTGTTCAACTATTACCAGTAATCTACACTCCCAAGAGCGATGAATTTTTATTCATGAGGTATCAAACAAAATGAATTATATGGATAAATGGCAAATGCGAATTTCAAAAGATAAAACCATACTACAACTATGATAAAAGTCATTGAAAAAATTTAGAGGTATCACATCAGACAAGAGGAAGCGAGGCTAAGGCTATAGTCAGAGGGTCACCGATTTCAAACAACTTTTTTCAGTGATACTACATCGAAAAATATTCGACATATATCCTCGCGTTCGTTCCAATGGGCACCACTAGGAGCGGAGAAAAAAAAATAATAGTATATGATTTCAAACAAAATTTATGTAATTTATTTTTGCTTTTACTTAGCCCGGATTATTATTATTATTATTACTATATACCAATCGATTTTGTTTTTTTGTGTAAAATAAAAAATATACTGAATATTGAATTAAATGAGTTATAATGTATCATAAATTACAAAAACCAAAAAGCTCTTCTAGTAAAGCAGGACAAGTAAATTTTAGTTACGAAAAAGCAAGTTAGCTTCGTTTTTGGAGCCCTTTAAAACTCTTAAATACAAGTTCTTATATAATTAAAACAAATAAAAAATAACCTTTAGTACTTGATTTTTTTTTTTTCCGGCCGTCAACTAAAGCATTCATAATTCCTCAGGATTTTCTTCAAATTCAACTTTAATGTAACCCCTGAAAGCTAAATTACTGATCTTCCAAAAGACAATAGTAACTTTTGTATTTAATTTCTTTTCAAGCTATAAATAAAAAAAAAAAAAACTTCTAACCCTCTTAAATTTTTATCTTAAATTTGTTTACCAAGGTCAGGTTTATATCATTTCGTGTAGCATACAGAGGCCTAAATACCTATTAATTTTCATCCAAAAATGTCATGTAGAAAATATTAATTTTTCGTTTGCTATAAAAATTTGTATTTAAGGGTTTTTTGAGGTGCGAAAAAAGAATATTAACTTTGTTTCTTCCTAAAAACATATATACTCAAGATACCAGACAGGCTGCTTTAAATAAATGTTAAATTTGGCAGATAGCTACAAATGGGCACAATTTGGACCAAATGACGTAGCAATGTGGAAGTAAATATTTTTTAGGGATATTCGTACCTTTTTATTTTTTATTGCAAACTGAAAAATTAAAATTATTATTGTCTTCGAAACTTTGTTGAGAACCACAAAAATTGTGATAGCTTTAGAACGACTACACCGATCCACTCAGAAATTACTAGGGATTTACGGCTCTATATATTATACAAAATGCTGTTTGTTATTGCTTAATTATTAAACTGGAGGGATATTTTCAAGTAGGAATAAAAAAGTTAAGCATATATTAATTTAATTTTTACTATATCAGTCGTGATGAAGTATGTTTGTTGAATAGACTGTCTTGATAATATTATATTTAATATATAAATAAGTATATTTTGCTGATGTAGGTTATACATCAAATGTATAAAGAGCCCCTTTGACAGTCAATATATTGACCGTGTAAGGGCTAAATTGGCATCAATTATATTGACGTATCGATTATATATTAAAACAAACTGGGTGATATCAAATTTGTTTGATTTTTATTGAAGCTTCTTCAATATTATTGAAATAGTGTCAATAAATATCAATTGCACGTGTAAGGGCTATATTGAGCAATATTAAACCACATAAATAAAAAATTTCCAGTGCTCCTCTTGGCAATATGTTCGAGAAGGGGAGTGGTACTTTTTTTTGTGGGGAAGGGAGAGGTTAACCCCATTCCCGATTTTATTTTTTCAAAAGTTGAAATGGTAATATGTTTTTGTAGGTGGTGATACTTTGTTTTCAATTATTTTTTTTTTTTTTTTTTTTGGGAGGGAGAGTTTAACCTCCCAACAAATTAAAAAAAAAAAAAAATAGTAATGTGTTTGGGGGTAGGTGGGTGATACTTTTTTTTGGAGGGGGGGAGGAGGAATGGGCTTGAATCCCCAGTGGGAATTTTAACAAAAATATAAAATGACTTTTTACAATATATAAAAAATAATGTAGATGATTCTATTATTCTTTCAGGATTGTATAAAAATTGATTAATAAGAAAATTCAACATTTGAACTGCCAATGAATCCAATTAGAAGATATATACATCAATTTAGAAAATGTATCAATAAATTATTTTGTTGCAGAAGAGCATACTAAGATTACTGCAATATCAAGAAAAAAAAAAAAAAAATGAAAATAGAGAAATCTCAAACAGTAAAAATAAATATACTGATATTTTCTTTAGAACAATTAGAGTTCAACATATGTCCTGGATAGAATTATATTCAAAATCATCTATAAAAATTTGATTTCAATCAAACTCAAGGCTTATAAGTCACTTTATACGTTATATTTTATATCTACTTATATTTATTTATTTTATTTTCACCATGTTTTGTAGCCCTGATGAAGACCTGCAAAGTGGGTCGAAACGTCGGCAAAAATTAAATAATTCTATTTGTTTAATTTATTAATAATTTGACCGCACCCCCCGATCAACTCCTTCTCTTAAAAGAAAAATATTGGATCACATTGATTAGCAGCTTCGCCTAATTTTTCAGGATAAACAATACGAATACACTATCTATTATCAGTGGCATCCTTCATCCTCAATCTTTTATCAGTCAGAAGATAAGGACTGAAGTAGATATTGATATATAGAGTTGATATTGTATATGTATATTTATATATTCCCTGCGACATTTCAACACGCCCAGAATGAAATTGAGTATACAGGGTTTCTCAGTTTTAAATGGCCAAACTTTGGTAGAGGAGGGGGGAGGTGTGATTCTAGACACAATTTCGAATAAAAAAATCATTTGGTGCATAGGCCGATTCCGAACGGAAAAGCAGTAAAGACCAATCTAGTGTTTTTCTTAAGATAGTCAAGTTTTTTTATTGAAAAGAAGGAATTGCTCAAAAACTGTTCAAGATAATTAAATTTCAAGTACACTATCGTTAAGTAGACAAAATATTTTTGAGAAACAATGATTAAATTTAGTAAGGTCAATGATAAAATAGACTTTCAAGAGGTCTAATACAGCCGCTGTACAGCTGCGGTTATAGTACCCATACACAAGCAGTATACATCTATACAGCAGCAATATTAGACCTCCCGAAAGTTCCTTTCATCATTCATTGCCTTACTAAATTTAGTTACTGTTTCCTCCAAAAAATTTAGTCTACTTTATGATGGTGAACTTAAAATTTAAAATTATCTTTAACAGTTTTTCATTAAGTCGTTCTTATTCAATCAAAAGCATGACTACCTTAAGAAAAACACGAAATTAGTCTTAACTTCTTTTCCGTTGGGAATTGGACCATCCATCAAAGGAAGTTTTTTGTTGGAAAGTTTGGATCAATTTCAGCATGTACAAACAGTTTTTCAACTCCTCCTTATAAAGTTGGAATATTAAAATTTTATATGTTAATTAAGTTGGGGTCGGAGTTGGAGTGCCTTTTGGGAATTTTATCGCCAGCCACCATTGTGTTTAAAGATGACGTCAGAAAATTTTTTTTAGACTAGCATTAAAACGACATTAATGATTTTGATAAAGCTGAAGTATTCAAATAAGTGTTTATTTTAAAGATATTTTTAACTCCCTACAAAACAAAGAATTATCGAAATCGGACCAGTTTTTTTTCTTTTCTTTCTTCAAAGAGTTATGGATGGTATTTGTAATTTTAGGAAAATCTTTTTAATTTGTTTTCTTGATAGCCCAAACATATATAACTATTGGAAGGTTCCTAATGTTCATTTGTCTATATAGCTCAATAAAAACTGTAAATTATACACAAATGTTTAAAAAACAAGCTGATCTTAGCGAATAATATACTATTGTATAATAATTAGCAATAATTTGAAATAATATATCTTATTTAGGTTTTTAATGAAACAATTTAATGCAAATTAATAAAAATCACTAAGAGCAGCTTTAGAGGAAATTGTAAAAATGTTTAAATTCTATGATATTATGTTGATTTTGTTGACAGTTAGTTGATTTTGTCCGATCAGTTGCTATAACAACCGAGGCATATTATACTCCTACTTAATCCATAATTTTAGGTGTTAGGGCTAGGCTGTTCTGTTTATGCACACGCCATGCGACATTGTTTATGACACACAGACCATTTTGCTAAAACTGGCGAGTTAATTAGGAGACAAAATAGATTTATTTACAAAAAAAATAGACTTCGAGATTTTTGACGATTGCAATACTTTCCACTTTCATCCCTTAACATAAATTTATTTAATTATGAGTCAGTATTTTTAGCTTAAATTGTTTCAACGTTCACGGGACATCAAAGAAAAAGTAAAAGATATCTAACTTAAAAATCGACCCATCCATTTGCTCATAAAGTCATTAATAGTTTTTAGCAAATTGATTAAACACATTTAATTCGACCACGGGTCAGTATTTCTAGTCCAAATTGTTTCAAAACACTTTAAGAAACAAATTTAAAAATCTATCCAACCAGTTTGCTTAAAAAATGGTTACATAGATTTTCGCAAATTAATTAAAGACTTTATTTAATCACGGGCCAGTTTTTTTTTTGTTTTTTTTTAGCTTAAATTGTTTCAGAACACTCAACTGGAGCTCAATAAATATTTTGAGTCATCAAACTTAAAAATCGATCCAGCGGTTCGCTCAAAAAATGTTACATAGCTTTCAGCTGACAATCTAAACACATAACAAAACCTAAACACTAAACCCCCATGTCGCTTCGCTTAGTTGTTAATAACATTTTCAGCAAGTATTACATCCTCAAGTGAGTTGAGCAGATTATCTTAAACCCAATTCAAATAAAGAAAAGTTGACATAAAGTAAGCCAAACCCATCTGAATGCTAAGAATAAATATTCCTGACGCTTCAAAGTTCACAGAAAGAAAAAAAAAAAAAAAAAAGAATGAAATAAATATGTAATATTCTAATACTAAACTTAAGATAGGTAAGAATTGTTAATATATGACTCACCAAGAAAACTGAACGCATCAAACTTCCTGTCAGATGGCGGCGGTAGAGGGGCACTTGTTGTAGATGGAGACACAGTGCTGGTACCATTGGTGGTAGGTGATGGAGTAGGCGTGGTAGGAGAAGTAGTCGGGGTGGTTGGATTGCTTGTGGTTGTGGATGAGTTGGTGGTTGTGGAAGAGGGAACAGTAGTGGTGGGAGTTGTAGGATCTGTCGGTTTGGGAGGTTTGGTAGTGGTTGGTGTAGTTGGGGGAGCTGGTGTAGTCGTGGCGTTTGTAGGTGGGACGGTTGTAGGATCTGGTGTTGATGAGGGTTTTTCTGTTGATGGATGCCGAGTAGGTTCTGAAAAAAACAGAAAAAACTTAAGCAACTAAATATCTTTATTTTTAATGAATTGAAATAATTTTATTAGAACTGGCATAGATTAGGTACAAACACCGTCATAAACAAATTTTATTTACAATCTCTGGATTTGGGTTCTTTCGGAAGTAATGAGGTGTCGTAACTATTCTTTTATGATGGTGTACTATTAATTTCGTAGAAAATATTCCAGATTTGCGGCTAACAATTACAAAATCAGCCAACTCCATTTTCAAACTTTTTATTTTTCTTAATTAATAGTTAATCACGAGGTAAAAGAATATCTCCCAAAACAATTAAATCAAATATGAAATAAATAAAAAATCTGGTGCGAGCATCACACATCTTTTACTTACCCTCTAATTAGCAGAGAAATTATTTTCTGGCAAAGTTGAACTATTATGAAGTTTTTGAAAGGCATTTATAACTGAGCTAAACCTTCAACCTATCATTAAAATAACACAAACCCTATTTATTATAAGAGATATTTGAAAGTACATATGTATAGGGTGCCCTGAAGATAGATGGAAATTTTTATAGGATGTATAGCAGATCTCAAGTTTTGTGTTTTTTTAAATTATGCCATATTTTTTTTTAATTGAAAGCAATAACTAAAGAAATATTTAATTTAAGTAATTAACAATCGCTGTAAACTAGACAAAATTTACTTCAAACCAAAATAGTTTGTCATTGTTAAAACCATTTAAAGAAGACTTTTTAGCGACTAAACTAAGCCACTAAGTTGTGTTATTAAAAATATTCATAATTCATTCTAGATTTTTTTTTTTTTTTTTACCATTATCCATCTGTACTACAGATACCCTACTTCTAGAAAAAGTACTTTGATTAATAAGGTTCAAGTACATATTAATTAAGTTGAGATTTATTAGGGAAAAACCGGAGATTCACCTAAAGTTATGTGTTTTATATCCTGCTGCCTAAAAGTAGCCATGTTTTCGGCAAAAATGACTACAATTAATTGTTAAAAAGCTTTTGTTTCTTTTTTACTTTCAGAGAGTGGGGTAGATCAGTGGTAGGATACTGAGCTTCCAATGCAAAGGTCCCAGGTTCGAACACCGGCTCATGGCAGAAAATTTATTCATCTGTTTCATTGGTCGTGGGACGACCCTGGGTCGGGAGACACACCCAGCCTCTATAAAGTGGCTACCGTTAATTAAATAATTAATTAAGGGGAAAACCTGGCGAGTGCGAGTGATCTCTGTCAAATCATCTCCTTGCACAACAGTTGACCTAGAAACAGTGCTTTCCCTAAATAGTACTGAACCCCAGACCCTTCATGGGTTGTAGTGGTACAGGTTTTTTTTTTTTTTTTTTTTTTTTTTTTTTTTTTTTTTTTTTTTTTTTTTTTTTTTTTTTTTTTTTTTTTAAAGGAAAAGTATTGTGATCGTGAAAAGTTTTTTCCATGATCTGGGATGTATTATAATTAGAGACCGGATTTTCATGCAGTAAAAATGCGGAAAACGTGCAAAATTGTGCAGTAAAAATCCAAAATACGTAAAATTGTGTAATAAACACCTAAAGACGTGTAAAATCATCAATATTGTTTAATTTATAACATTAATACAATATCTTATCAGATCTTGAGTTACCCGCGATAAAAAAAAAAAAATTGGAATGTAACATTGAAAATGAAATTCTTGATTATAATAATGATTATTATCAAATAAGATTGAAGGAATAAATGAAGGCAGGAATTATAGGTACCTATATATTATATAGACCAGACGACCAAGTTTAGATATTTAACTTTTATTAAAAATAATCATGAAAACTTTATTTTTAATAGTTTAAATTTCCAATATTATACATTCTTTAAAAAAAAAAAACATTAAATTCTTTGATAGAAATATTTTTTTCTTACATGTTCCACAATGAGCATCTATCAGCGATTTCCTATAACCTACTTGATTTTTCATAAGGAGTAAAAAACATTCTCATCAAATTCTTTGCCCTCAAATTTCAAATTGGGATATTTTTATATCCAGATTTTAATTATTGACGAGAGATAGATTTTACTTTCAGCATTATAAATTTCTTTTTGTTGATAACAATAAAATTTCTACAAATTAGTTCAAAGTCAAAACAATAACTATCAAAATATCTGATTCTAGGAAAGCAGCTTTTTATTATTCAATACTTTAGACAAGTTCTATTCCAAGAATAGATCTCACTTTTGTTTACTTCTTCCTTTTGTAATGAATACTATTTTTGCTTCACACAGAATTATTTGCTTTCCTCATATTTTTGATTTTGAATAATGAATTTAATTTCAACAATATAGTAAAATAAATATTAACATACTCACTTATACATTTGTATTTATAAATCGTCCCATAAGTACAAAAATGTGCAATTTAATGCAAGAAAAATCAAAATCATGCAATTTTAGCCAAAAACGGCAAAACGTGCAATTTTGTGTAATATAAAATTTAAATATGTTATTCTACAGGTCCTGAAACAGATAGGTATTCGGGTCCAGAGTTTTTACACGCAAGCAAATAAAAATAAACATAAATATGCTTTTTTTAAATAATGATTTTTCAAGTAAAGTGGTTAAGAAACAGTATTTTTCATCCAGATCTCTAATGTAAGAATTGATCCATATTTTTAAGTGACTTGACTAAATCTCCCTAATCCAAATATTTACATTTTCATGAAAATAATTGGAGCAATATTTTAAACATAAATTTCTGGACTAGAAAGATTTAGTTTGTCACTAGACACTAAACAATGTCACTACCACTATAGGTCTCGGCAATGGAATAATATCTATTTTCATAAATTTTTAAAAAATAAATATCTAAAACAATTAATGAAGATACTAAAATAAAATTTTACATGTGGGTTATAAGTAGAGACCAGATTTCTATGTTATTGCACATTTTATTCGCTTGAGTGTAAAAACTTCAAATCTAATTATCTATCCGTTCTACGATCTGTATTTTTGTCCTAAATTGCATAAGTTTAATTTTAAATATACATATGTTTGTAAGTATTTATATTTTTATTATACTATATTGTTCATGTTAAATTCATAATTTAGGAAGGTAAATTATTCTGTAACAAATAAATATTTGAATTTAACATTACCACAGGAAGAAGTAAACACAAGTGTGGAATATTCTTGGAATAGAACTAGCCTTAAGTATTGGATAAAAATAAAAAACTGACATCTTAGAATAAGCTGTTTAATTAGAAAGATATTTATGATTTTTGACTAGATATCTTACTAATTCTTCAGCCCTTCAATATACCTTCTGGCTTTGTCGTAATTTAATTATTATTTTAAAAAAATAATTATAATCTAGATATCAAATTAATCAGAGTTGAAAACTTGATCAGAAAGTTTCTTCTGAACACCTTGTGAAAAATCAATCAGCTGTGATAGGAAGTCACAGATGTATGCTCATTGTAGAACAGATAAGAAAAAAAAAATGTTTCATCAATTTGTTTTGTTTTTGTCTTTAAATTTTCGTTGTTAGATGAAAGAAAACTGTATCAAGTCAATGTTAGTCCTTATTATTGTTTAAATTTTTCTCTCATTATACATTATTTTAATTCAGAAGCTTAACACAACAAAGCTCCGATACGATTTTGATGTAAGAATTTTATAAATTAAATAAAATAGATGATTTTTCAAATTTTTAGGTGTTAATTACACAATTTTGGGTTTTAACTGTACTATTTAGAATTATTTGCTGCAGTTTTTTTTTTTTTTTTTTTTTGTTTACGCACAAAAGATTCGGTCACTGGTCATAAGGATGGTCCAATAGAATAAATGAAACATCCATGATCCTGAAATCAAGAGTTACATGATCTGGGGTAATATGATATAAATTGACCTTCAAGAATATTCACTAAGATGACAGAACCTTCAACCAAAGGACACCAACTCCAGTTATAATAATAATAATCAAGGCAAGGTTCAACATAACCTTCAAATGTATCAATCACCAGGCCTTCACTTTACCAATGTCAGCTCAATATCTCACCAATATTAACTGCTTATGATTTGATTTCTAGACATTCTTTAAATCTAATTTCCTCGAAATTCAAAATTTAACAAATAAACAATTAAGTCGCCACCATTTTTAGTCCTACCCAAAGGTTTTATTCATTAATTTAGTTTAATGGGCCTACCCCATTTCACAATGAACAAACAGTCCTACATACTTTAAGGTAACAATTCCAGTTTAAAAAATAAATAGAATTTACAGATATAAAAGAGAATTATTATTTAATGAAACGGTTTATCATTCTAACTATTCATTTTTAAATAATATAAAATTTTAAAAATACCTCTAAACACTAAAACCTAGATATGTTGAAAAAATATCGAAAAAATTATATTTTCATAAAATATATCAATATTATTTATATTTGAATATAAATTAAATAATAAAGTCTACATGGAAAGCCACCACAGGTGAGCATATAAAAAAGTTTGATCTTTATTTTTTTTATATATATTCATCAATTCAATTAATTTTTAGGAGTTCTTAGTAATAAGTTTTTAAAATAATAGAGGGTAATACTTTTGATTTTTAGTAATTCATTATTCTCATTTTTTTTTTTTTTTTTTTTTTTTATGGTTTGTTTACAAAACTGATCAATTTATAAATACTAATTAACTGATACTTTTATATTTGATATATATTAAATAAATATTTAATTTTTGCAATTAAATTTACTACAGACCTAAGACAAATTAGATTTCAATCCTATTTTCTTCCTTTCAATAATTAAACAGAGACCTACCACAACCCAAGGGTAATCTTGGCGTAATAATTCAAAATAAGTACTGTTTATCTACACATGAGTGACGTCATTATGCTGAGCCAACTTATTTAATTATTAGGCCCACACTTCAAATATAGGCTAGATATGCCAATGGAGAAACTGTTGACGAATTAACTCAGTAGAGAGATAACAAACAAGAAAATAAGTTTCCTTTAGAAGTAGGTATCAAAACAAGAGCCCAGCGATAATTGAATCCTTATTTGGAATACCTTAAACACTAATATCAAACACTTATGCTAGAAAAAGTTGGTTTCTTCTTCTTAATTGAAAAATTAAAATAATTCAAGAATTATTAATCAATAAGTATATGGATTTTAGGATGCCCTCACAAATGCGGACAGAAATTTGTAGGATATGAGATTTTTATATGAAGGGAGGATAATTAGTTTTATCCTAATCATTAGGTATTTATTCAATTTGGATATATGTAAACAGGTGGCTTCATGGGCGATAGGTGCCACAGGCAGACTAGAAAGGTGGTTGGGGCGAACAAAACAGATGCTGATGAGCGATGGTAGGAGGGTGTGACTGCTGAGAAGATCCAAGAGCTAATAAAGCTCAAAAGATATTAATTCAAAACTGAAAAAATTGGCTACATACATGAAAGTGACAAGACTACTTCCTAAATATATTGAAAATAGAGAAAAAGACAGAATGTATTGTTATAAAAAATTGATGGCCAACATCAACCTCGTATAAGTTTAAAGGGCACACATTTGGTAATTAACTGGTTTTTATATGTAGGGTTGTGCCGACAATTTCATCAGCTCAGAGATATAGAGATAAATCATATTAGACATAGCCCATAGGCACTGTGGGAGAATATCAGAAATATTTTATGAATTAGATCGGAGTTTCACTGGCTTTTTGATTAAAATTCCTGTTGAACCTGTTAACTAAGTAAAATCTTTCTTACTTCTATTCAAATAGTTTGTCACAATACTCTTTATCATATTAATAAAACATTTCATCATTAAGAAAAATAAAATCCTTCCATATTCATGATAATTTCATTCAAACTTTCATAGTTTCAAAACAAAATTAATAAATTACTAAATTAAAAAACAGCAAATAATTTATGATCAAATATCAATCCAAACAATGAAGAACAGAAAAGATTTTTATACAAAGTTACCAACAAATAATGGTATTTGTTTATCTAGCACTGATTGTAATAAAATGTTTTTTAGTTACTGGTACATGTAAAACTGTCAAAGAAATGAATTTATCCCCTCTCCTAAAGTGTAATATTCAACCAGTTAATTGCTAAGGGAAAAGAGCTAATAAAAAGATAAAGTCAATATGCAATTACATAATAAACAATCAATAAATATAAAATTATTAAAAATAATTAGGAAAAGCAAAATTAAAGACAGAAACATACAAGTGCTGTAATAATTAATTTAAATCTACTCGTATAAATATATATATATATTGATAGGATATGAGATTACAGTCAACCAATTACCAATTATATATATATATTGAAGGATCTAATAACAAAAGATAAAAGAAAAAAAAATGTAAGAAGAAGGGAAAAGATTAAAGCACACAACTAATGATCTTTAGAAAACTTATTTAAAAACTTCCTCTAAATTCGTTATAATTCAATGTGTCAAAACTAAACATATTATCATAAAAAAATATCATTCCAAAATGTCAAATAAATCAACCAATTCTTTCAATTTGATAGTTAATTTTAAAATAACAAATATAAACCAACAATTCCTTATTAAGCGAATATTTTTCTTTAGGCAGCAGGAAATATAGTGGGGAAAACCCAATGGTTTCCTGCTAACCAATTAAAGGAATTAAAATAAACTAGTGTAAGAGTGGTTTTAATTTTCAATTATATAAATAAACTAAGCTAACTAAAATAAAAATGCACCTAATCTGCTAACCGCACTGAAGTCAGCCTTTGATTGAATAATATGCCTAGGATCAATCTGTGTACGATGAATATAACAGAAGATAATTGAGTGAATATAAACTCTTGATATTAATTTTAAACTAACATGAAATAGTTCTCAAGTGAATAAAATTTAAAATGTTTAACTTGTTAAGTTAATAAGAAACTATGAAATTATGAGAATCAAAAAGTAACTGTTCAAGAATAGAGGCAAGAATAGTAAAACTGTACACAACTAAAGTAAGGATTTAAGACGTGAGGCAAGAATAGTAAAACTGTGCAGAGCTGTTATAAAATAACTAATGTAATTAATTAACTTAATTTTACCTGGTTTTTCGTCTGCAAGTGGTACAACTTCAGGTTTCTGGTCAACTGAAAAAAATATTAAGGCTGTACTTCACTAAGTGATTAAAAAGAATTGTAAGTTTCTAATATAAAAATTAGTAGCAAGATGTAAAATTAAAAGAATCATAGACTTTTACTTAAAGAAATAATGGAGAAAAAACAATAATGTACATTGAACTAACCTTTGTTTTCCAAAGAATTAGTAATTCCTACATGGAATGTGACGAAGCACAATAAGATACTTAATATTAGTGTTCGGTACATTATATGAGAAAGTAATTACACTAAAAACATAAGATTCCTAAACACTGAAGGAGCAAAGCCCTAAATAACGAGAACAGCAGAGCAAATTACGACACAGAATGGAGACAACTTGACGACAGCACAAGTGCTGGCAACCCCTGCCATTTTAAATTTTTTTGAAAAAAAGATTAAAATTAATGTTTTATGATTTAATAATATATATGTTTAAATTAAAATATTAAGTTACATATAATTAATTTTTTAAAATATTTTAGATATTATTTTGAATTATTGTACAATTAATTAGGGAATGGTAACCAGATCCTACCAATCTGCCATTTGTTTACAAACTACATAGCAATGTGTTAATTTTTTTAGTTAATTTATTCTTGATTTACGTTTTAGTCTATCCATTTAAAATTAAATATGTTGAACATGGAAGAACATCAGAGGAACATAATGGCCAAACTTCACGCATTGAAAGAAATAAGGTTGATTGGATCTGTAAATTTATTAATTCATAATTGGATATATTTTTAATACTGTTAATATTTTTCCTAATGCCTTCCTTTTGTCAAATATTTCTTCTTAGGGCTAAAACAATAGAATTAGAGAAACTTAAAGCTAAAATATTAGAAGAAGTAGAAGCGAAGGAAAAAGAAGAAAAATGTATTTCTGAGTATAAACAAGAAATGGACCTTTTAATGCAAGAAAAGATGTCTCATGTAGAAGAATTGCGACAAATTCACGCAGATATTAATGCTGTAAGTCTTCATGTATGTATATAGTATTGTAAGTTGAGTGTAATATTAATATCATTCATTGTATGAAGATGGAAAACGTAATCAAGAAAGCTGAAGAGTCCAGGACTAGATCTTTAGACCGTGCTAAGAAAATTCATGATGAGTATCGTCCCTTGAAGGATGATATTGACAGAATGAGAAGGGACTATCTTGGCTTAGAAAGATTACCAGAGCTCCATGAGCAAGAAGCTGACCTTATAACCCCTGAGTAAGTTTACACCAGTGCATATTACTTATAATAATAATTCTGAATTTATCATTTGATGAGCAGTAAATTATTTATTTATAATTCATTATTGGATGCTTGTATACATATGATTCAATGACGGATTAGATGTAATATTAAACTTAACTTATGATTAAATACGACATGAGTGAAACTATACTAATATAGACAGAATATGATATATTATGTTTTAGTTATTTTATATAGCTTAGGAACTTACCCTTTATGATTCATTCAGATAAGATTTTTTTTATTTTATAGTTTTATTTTCTTCTATGATTACTATAGATTGCTCTGTAATAAATGAAGATAGTGTTATCAAAACTTTTGACATTATCAATTGTTCTATATAAGTTCTTATATTCTCGTATTTTGATGTCTTCATTTTACATGTCCCATGTTCTTCCTCACCATTATGGTCATTTATTTAGATTATTGTTGAAGTGAGGTAGTTAAATTTGTTTACTTTCATAATTTTTTTTTTTAACTGTGCTAATATATTGAACCATGTATTATTATAATTTACTTTATCTTATCAATATTAATTTGTTGGGGGATTAGTCTTGGTAAAGCTATAGTAATGTCACATCTGGTTTACAGGTGTGCAAAGATCATTTAGATCACACCGTTAGGGTAATGCTGCAATGCGCTGAGTGTGTCTGAAAGTATACGGAGGATGCCCAATCTTCTTATTAAATTATCCTAAGCCCTTTTACTACCATTGAAAATCTAAATAACATATAATTTTTGTTTCCGATTGACAATAATCAAGACTCGTTACCATTTCGGATTATTGAGCAAAATAGCATTGAATAACAAGAATGTTATTATGAAGCTAGGGTTCAAATTTAAATTATAGTGATTATATTGCTGAAATTAATGAAAAATAAAACAGTATCTGAAGAAAAATTTTACTACAAGTGGGTAAAATTATTGTAGTAATGCAATTTGTTATGAAATTGATTTCAATAGGCCAGTATGTAGCTTAGTAGGTATTTAATTTTTTTTCAAAATGTTTACATTAGGTCTGAGAATATTTTAATTCAATTATTTGGAGTCTTTCTGTGTCTGTCTTTTTTGCAATCAATTTGAGATGTGCTAATTTGGAATCAAAGATCAAACTAGTTTAAGTAAGTCTGTATAGGTAGCAAGTTTTTATCTTAATTTTAATTGTACTCTGCATTTCAAAATTAAATTATAATCTTACAAATTATTTATTAAATAAGTTTTGTTTTTGTTCCATAGGTCAATGCCTAATTAAATTATGTATTTTGTGGACATTTTATTTTCTCAGTTTTATTGATAGCTCATCTTTAGGAATATATCTTGTAAAAAAATTTCAATTATTATGAATGGATTTTTCTCCTCTCCACGTTCAATTGTATTTTTTCCTGATATTGAACTAAAATTTAAAGAGGAAAGTTATAAGTGAGTTGTTTTAATATAACTTAACCTTTGTACAGATCATATATTAATTAAAAATTATATATTAAATTTTAAATACCTTATTATTTATTTATGTAAAAATAAAATAAATTATTTTCCATGTAGTATAGTTTTTATTGTATTGATTATTGAGGTTTTATTATCTTCTTAATTTCAGTTGAATTTGTTACATCATGTTTTTAATTTTTCTTAACAGTTTATTTGCTAAGAGCTACTCTGAGAAGACCTATAAAGAAACATGGCGCCCAGATGTTGCTACGATGAGTGGGTACTTGCATCCTTCAACGTCAGCCTTTCTTCCACCTCTGCAGCCACCTCCAATGATGGCCAGCACCAGCAAAGCACCCGATCCGTTGCCTCCTCTTCCTGGCCCACCTCCCACCTTCAGGTTCGATTCATATTTATTTATTTATTGATGTTATTGTACTCTTTTATAAAATTTTATGTGTTTGACTTTCAGTTTTATTTTCAGTTACTTATATATGTAATATATACCTATAATGTATTGTGATCGTGAAATTTTTGTATTTGAGTTTTCAATGGAAATACATATTTTGAAGTCCCCTGAGTCCAAATAACCGTGCGTGCGTGTATATGTAAACAGTTTATCTCAAAAATTAAAAATCATATGCATGTTATTGAAATAACATTTTTACATGCCTGGAATGTTACAACTTTTTCATCTAAATCAGATTACCAGAAGTGCCACTTAATATTATAGATTTTACCGTAGGTAGGAAAGCTTTTTTGTATTTGTGCGAGAGGTTAAAAAGTATCTTTTTTTTTTTTATTTGAAATAATTAGCCTTTCCACATTGTAAACTTATATAAAAAAATGCTTAAATATAATTAATAAGGAAAATTGGTAGGTAACTAAAGGTGAAATGAGGGTTAGAAGCTTTATGGAAACAGCCAAGAGCGCACACCTTTCCCGATCCTCTCGCTTTACAGATACTTCTTTGTACAGGGTTTTCATATTATTAGTTTAACTTTTATGTACCACTTATCCATAATTTTTTTAAAAGATTTACACGCTAAAAGTTTAGGATATACCAATATAAACCTAATAACATACAATATTTACTAACGTTAAGTTATTTTTTCGACGAATTTCGTGATAAATGTTTCTGATGAAACACAAAATTTTTTCCAAAAGATCTATTTTTACCCACAATCATTAGTACTCTTTGATACTAAACAAAGTCATAAAAGGAAATGGAAAGTGATACAAATGTATAAATTTAGCAGATTTGAGAAGCTGGAAGTACATGATAAGTAATTGTTTTAAATGAAGTTATACCATCGTTTTCCCTTTTATTCTCCTATATATGAAAATACCTATCTACTCTAAAGTTGGTAAGTGAAAGTTATGTGATACGCACACCGCACCAGATTTTTACTTTAAATTTATATAAGCAGCTATAACTGAAGTGGAACATTATTTAAGCAACAAAATATATTATTTTTAATAAATACTTCATGTAAAACTCCTCTGAATTTATTTTAAAATAATTATACTCCTTTCTAATGTTAACACTGCCATTTAGTTGATAAATTATAAGATAATTTAAATTAATTTTTGGCATGAATTCATCTTAATAAATAAATAAATAATAAAAGGCTTAGCGAACCCGAAGGTTCGATGCCGACACCAACAATCGCTTATTACACACCTCCCTCCACCGTTCGCCGTCCAAACCCAGTCCCTTCAGATCGGCTTTAATGCAATCTTCCCACCTTCGTTTCGGTCTACTCCTCGGACGCTTACCATTTGTTACAGCAAATATTAATCTTTTAGGAATTCTCTCGTTACTAAGCCCAACAACTTTACAAGCCCATTTGATTCGCCGCGACGAAATTACCTCAATTATGTTACCCGGATACAGTTCACGCAATTTGGCGTTGTGTAACCGTCTGAACTCTCTGGTTAATTCATCCTTCTTCGGTCCGAATATTCTACGCAATACTTTATTTTCAAAAACCTTAAGATGCTGCTCATCCCTTAATGTAAGCGGTCAAGTTTCGTATCCATAAAGAACTGTAGGCAAGATAATTGTTTTATAGATTCTAATTTTTAAGTTCCGGGACAAGAGGCGCGAACTGAGTAGTTTTGTCACAGAAAAATAACAAGCATTTCCCGACTTCAGTCTAACCTTAATCTCTTCTTCAATTTCGTTTTTTCTAGTTATCGTAGAACCTAGATACCTAAATTTATCTACCTGTTCAAACATATTACCATCTATATCGATATCACCAGTAGTATCGCCATTTTTGCAGCTAACCATATATTTTGTTTTATCCACGTTTATTTCGAGTCATAGTTTTTTACCGGCTTTCATTAACGTTGTCGTATTTAGTTTTATAGTTTCAACGTCTTCGCTTAACAGTACCAGATCATCAGCATAGCCCAGCACGGATGTTGTCCCACCCAGATCCAACCCTTTCTCGGTACGCATTACCTCCCTAATGGCATGTTCTAATGCCAAATTGAACAGTACAGGCGAAAGGGAATCCCCCTGTTTTAAACCCGAGCGAACCTCAAATTTTTCTGACAGATTATTACCGATTCTAACTTTATTGAGTGCCTCCGTCAAGCACATCCTGACTAGATTCACTAGTTTTTTTGGAATCTCCTGGAATTCATCTTAATGATTAATTGAATTTTCTAATTAATTATGAACCCCAGCGAGAACTCTCACATTAGATATCTATCCTTCTCCCTAATGCATTTGGTGTCAAGTCAAGTCAACGAATGATTATAGAAGGAAATGGCAGGGACACAATTTTTGATTCTGGGACATTGTTCGGAATAGTAAGGAGGTAAACATACTAAAAGTCGCCACTCCTAGGTGGTGAGCCAGATATAGGGGGAGGGGGGCTAAGAAGTTCACTTTTTTCCTGATTTCTCTTATATTAGGACAACTATCCATTACATCGACAAAGACATTCTATAGGAATTTAAAGCTGTTTAAATTTGCAAGATGATTGATTATATATCTTTTTTCGCTACCTCGCTTAGTTTCTGAAATATCCATCATCAACTTTGGCTAATTTTGAAGAAGAAAAAATTGGCTCATGTTTATTACTGTTTTTCGGGTTTTCACTTATATCACGAAAAATATCTGTCACATCGGCAAAGACATCTTCAAATTAAAGCTGATAAATTTTACAATATGATTGATGATATACTTTTTATCACTATCTTGCTAAGTTTCCGAGATATCGTCTTAAACTATCGCTAAAATGGAAAAAAAAATTTTTTTACCTCACCTTTTTTACTATATTTGACTAGCTAACTCTTGATTTCTTTGTTCTACGATTAAATAATGGGGAAGAAAGTTTATTAATAATTAAATTTTCTTCAATAATATATTGTAATGTAAATATTATATAGTGATTTTAAGTAATGGCATGAAGGCAGTGATGTCACGGGCTTCAACAATCAATGGGAAATTTCATGATGATGATATGACATTTAGGTTGATTATATTAATTTCATATAATTGATAATATGTTACAGAATGCATTAAAACTTATAAAAATTTACCATAAACCATTGTCTGATTACATACAGAGAACCAGATTTTTAAGCCAACCAAGTTTTATGTTAACTAAAAAATGTTTAATTTTGGTTACAAAAAATGACTTCATAGTAAAATAGATTAAATCTACATTAAATACAAGTAAATATTGTCTATTTTAAAACCATTTAAAGGGGACTATTAAGCAGTTAAACTATGGTAAGTTCGTTTTTTTATAAAATCAAGAATTCTACACAATCTTTTTTATAACCTCCCAACTTTTTTTTTTTTTTTCTTTTTTTTTCCCTGCCCTACCTGCCATTGCTGCCATACGGGGTTTTGACAGCAGTGGGTTAATACATTGGGTTCTCGTATGGCAACTGCTGCCAATAATCAACACTTTATTTATCATTTATTTCACAATTATTTTAGGAATTTTAATTCATGGAACAATAAGCACAATTGGGTACTGTGGTGGTGCGGCCCGGTACACGGTTGTGCACTTTTATGATGGGGCACCTTGTCTGCACCGCATCTGTCCGGTCCTTTCATCTTTTCCTTCGGCCTCCTCAGTTGGTCTTTTTGCCATTCCCATCGAGAACTGTGCAGGGCAGATTGTGCCTCTCCACCCATACACAAACTCCCGAAAGAGCGGGTAATTTTCTTCCTCCACCAGGCGTGGAAAATCCTGTTCTCTTAGGGTATACAGCCCCATTTCCTCCACCAATTTTGCACGGCATCCCTCCATTGAGGTGCAGGATACCAGGATGTGTTCCACCGTCTCAGGGACTCCGCAGGGAGGGCACCGGGGGTCGATGTCCTTCCCATGGTCAGCCAGCTTTCCCCGGAACCCTCCATGTCCTGTGAGAACCTGTGAGACCCAGTAATCAGGGAGGACCCATGCCGCATATAATTTTGCCTGGACGGTGGGGAAGACCTTTCTGAGGGTAGACCCTTTCGGGCTTGTCACCCACTGTTTGTTCCACTCTTCAATAGAATCCTCCTCCATTGGTTCAGGTTCTTTATTTATAAGTATATAAATATATACTTATTTATAAGTATATATTTATATATATAATATATATTCTTTATTTATAAGTATATAAATATATAAGTTTATTTATAATAGTTATTATGTTGTAACTTATAAATATTATTTATTGTTATATTCAAAGGATCAACCCCAATATGATTCATATTACAAGCATGTACTACTTTTTACAAAAATAAATTATAATTATAATACTTAAAAGCAGTTATTATTTGAATCAATTAAATATTATTTTAGTTATCATTTCTTATTAAACAAAAAATGTGACTTAATTTAATAAAAACTTAAATTTTCTTCTTCTCTGTGGAAAATCAGAGCACTGTTTATATAAACTTTTTTGCCGCTATTGAGGGCAGCTATTGTTCCTTTAAATATTTCTCTCTACTTATGGGACACACTATATAAATATATACATATATATTTATTTCTGTTGGCTTTACCGACCTTAAATTAATAGTTTATAATATTGCAGGCAGCAGCCACCGCCAATGAAGTCTTGTCTCTCTTGCCATCAGCAGATCCACAGAAACGCTCCCATCTGCCCTCTTTGTAAGGCCAAGTCTCGTAGTAGAAATCCTAAGAAGCCGAAGAAAAAAGACTAAGCTGGCTTAAGTATTTTTTTTTTTTTTTTTTACACAAGGTTTTATATTTTATATATGTATTTTACCAATGGTAGTTTGCCAGTGATTGTAAAAAGGCAAACCAGATTCTAGATAGATCTCAAATTGTCATCCACGGCCCTATACCTACGTCCAAGATAGTTGTAGAGCTGGTGGGGAAGCTATTGACCTTTTAAAGTTCTTTTTTGTGATGTTAGAAATCAAAAAATTAATTTGAAATGTAATTGTTAATAGTACAATCTTAGGAAACTATTATCTTTATATTGTAAGTGAATGGCTATGAAGCTTTAGTCTCCGGTTTCTCTGTTATTTTATTTATACACATTATAATTAGGATTCTATTGTTGGTTCTGGGATTTTTTTTTTTCATCATATGTATACAGTTTTTATATTATTTAAGAGTGCTTCGTATTCCTAAATGTGATTTTTAAAAGATCTTAATTGAACACTGTATCAAATTTATTCTGTTAACTATTTAGCATTTGTAATTTATAAAATTTTCAAGCGATATTGAATTGAAATCCTTATTATGAGATCTTAATAGCTCGAGTAACATTCTGATAATATTCAGTTTTATTTCCAATTCAACATTTATTTAAAATTTTTATCAAGGTTAGTCCCTCAGGCAGCTGTTAATAGATACACTGTTCGTCATCGTTCAACATGTTGGTTTTATTTGTAATGATTCTCGAAACCTAAAAAAAATCATGGTACAATTATTAGTTCCTGTGACATGACGTTACATACAGAGGATTCCCAATTATCAGTTGGATGGGACCGAATACAGTATACGAATATTAAATAAAATTTGAAATAGAATCTTAAAAACGTTATAGATAATATCTTTTCTTTAATATAAATATGTTAATAGTCCATTTAACCTTATTATTAATAACTATTAAAACCTAGTTGATGAGCCAGAACCAATGATACATCTCTTAAGGTATTGTATAATGTTATCTGCTCTCTCTTTGTTATGAAAAAATAAGCAATATTTTATTGTGAAGACATTTATTTCCATTAGGTATTATTAATAATACTTTGTTTATTTCTATAATAAAGTTTACATATTCAATGGTAAAGTTGTAATATTAAAGTCAAGTGTTGTATGGTAGTATTATAAGACTTTGTTTGCTTTTCATTATTTTAGAGTTTGATAAGACTGATTATTTACAATTTTTATTTTTTTTAATTTTAACAATATTATTTATTAATTTTTTATTTTTTGTTTTATACTTATGAGTTTGGTCTCATGGCAGGATTTGCAAAGCATAGTAATTTTTTTATTTTATTCAGTTTCAATGCAATTTTACTCTTTATAAAATTATCAAATTTCACTTTCAAACTATTTAGACTTATTAAACTAATTTTTTTTTTGTTTAAATTTAATAATGAAACTGATCATCTAGTTATCATTATATAAATAGGCAAAGACAATTTCATATTTAAAATACAATTATATTAAATACGTACAGTCCCACATATATTTGATATATAATTATTTAGAAATAGTAAACCATTGTGTAATAATTACCAGCGTTATGTTAAAATGTTTTAAATGACTTTGTTAGATTGGATTTTTATAGATTTCGGTTTATTTGCTTTTTGATTAAATTATTTAATATGACATTCCATTAGAATTTTCTGTTGGTATGAGTATAGTTGTTTTGTTTTTTTGTCAATACTATATTTACTCAAACTGTTTTAATAAGAAGAGAGCAATCAAATTTCTTGGATGGGATTTGATGCGTCATTGCTCTCGGGGGACGAGAGAGACACCTCTCATACAAACGAAATGAATACCATTTTCCATTTAACCAGATTGAGCCACAGTGACGTGTGGAGAGTAAGCTAGTCATTCTATAAATAGGCAAAGGAAAAACTGATTATTTTTTTTTAGTAGCTATGAGTAGCTTTAGTGTTATTAATAAAAATAAAATAACAGTGAGTATAAATAAAGATGTAAACATTTGTTTGTTCAAAGCGTCTAATCTCCAAAAGTTCTTTACTGATTGCTTTAAAATTTTGATCAACATTGCAATCAACTTCAGAATTGTTTTTTTTTTTTTTTTATAAATTTCATTACCATTTAGCCTTTCATTTTGAAATAGGAAACGAAAACCGTGTGTTGCTACAGATTGTACCGGCAAAACTGTTCTTTCTTTAAATTTTCAATAATTTTTATGTTCGAACATTAGTTATTATTATTATTTCTATTCATTAACACACGTTAATTTTCCTAAACATTTCTTTCCAATGTTGAGGATTTTTTACTTCGATAAAAATTCATTTTAACATGATGTGCCTTCTATTCCTCCAATTTATTTTGTTTCTTTATGGCTCATTTAACATCTAATGTTCAGAAACCTCGGTTTTTTCCATCAGTTTAACTGTTGGTTTAATGTCAATAAATTTCTTAGTGTAGCCATTTAAATTCTCCACTTAAATTCAAGATGTGGTGAAGGGCTTCCTCACAAACATTGCATTTATTATCATTGTTTTTATATTTGCTCAATTATATTATTTATTATAAATTATTAGGTAAATGTATTTTAATTTTTGTTCGTTGGCTTTTGTGAATAATGTTCATAGTATCATAATTTGAAAACAAAGTTAAGTTATCAAAATGTCAAAGTTAGTTAGGAGAAGTGAAGTGACTTTTGATTGTAGATATTTTATCTGTATTTTAAAAGAAACCTTAATTTTAAATTATTATTCATTACTAGCCTGAAAGTTAATCTTCAAAACACTGGCTCAATCATCAGTTTTGATAAAGTATAAATTATTTATGAAGAGAAGAATAGTTGAGATGGTCAGTCAAAAAAGAAGGCAAAAATAAATTATAATATTTATTTTTACATATACCGACGTTTCGAACTGAAATTCAGGGCTAAGAAAATAACCAGATAACAAGGTATGAGAAACATAAGTAGTGATGGTAAATATTAAATATTAGGTATGTTTCTCATACCTTGTTATCTGGTTATTTTCTTAGCCCTGAACTTCAGGTCGAAACGTCGGCATATGTAAAAATGAATATTATCATTTATTTTTGCCTTCTTTTTTGACTGACCACCCCAACTATTCTTCTCTTCATTATCCACGACAGTCAACCATTTGCCAATTATAAATTATTTATATTTAATTGAATTTAAAAAGTTGTTAACAGTTTTTGTTTCCAATTGATATAACTATTTTTCGTGAAATAGAGCTTGTTATTTCTTAAAGCTTTGCATAAACTTGTCATGGAGTTTGCTAGTCAATTATTTATTTGTAAATTCTTAAATGTTTTGTGATTGGTAGCTAAGCAAATGGAGCAAACTTTTGAATTAAAAGTTTTAATTTAATATTTAGTTTGTTCATTGTAAAAAAAAAAAAAAACTAGTCAGGAACAGACTGCTCTAGGTATAATTTTTAGTTCCTTTAGATCTGCTTCAGGTCTTTTTGATAGATTATTTCCTTTTTCGTTATTTTATAATTATTTATTTTTAGTAATTAATTCTTATATTTATTTTGTTCTTACTCACATTAATACGTATTATCGTAAAGACTATAATTGTTAATTAGCTGCTTATCGTACTTTCAGTATTATTATTTGTGATATTTCAGTGTCAAATAATCGTTCCAATGTGCCAAATGTTTTAGTTTATTTCCTATGTAACTTATTACATTAGATCTAAGTTTTCTATGTAATTTTTATACAGCTAGTTCTATTATTCGAAATGTATTAAATAGTATTGTATCAAGGCAATATATTTTTAAATACTGAGACTGTGTTTTATTTATGTTTTCCTAATACTATTAAGTGATTCAGTAAGCAGGTAAGGGTTTTATGCTTAAGCAGTGACATTGACACAAGCCAGTCTGTAAGGGTAAGACTCATATTGCAACACATTTTTTAAATTAAGTTGTTCTTTTCTATTTTCTCTACCTATAAACTTCATCTATAGTAAGGGACAGTATTGCTATCATGAAAATTTTTCAATCAGTTTTTAACGGAATAACAAGGTTTGAGTCGAGATAACCCAAAACGGTCTGTGGGTGAACAACCTAGGTCAGTAAGTAAACAGAAAGTCATATGAAACTTGAAATTACATATTTGAGGTATTTATATACTAGTGATGTTATAGCAACTTTTCTCCTAAAATGAGCTAACCAAAAGTAGCACTTTATACAACCAATTTTAACCCATTTTTAGAATTTTATTTAAGCTAGGTCTTATCTTAATTGATGTAATCTGACAAGGCTTAAATGCCGAATTTTTTTAATTGGTTTCCTCTGAAGTTACTTTAATACAGCCTAATAAAAAGTAATAAGAAATGGCTAAGTAAAAAATATGAAAACATTTTTACTTTTACTTACCTATATATGAAATATATAGTAAAGGAAAGTATTGTGATCGTGAAAAGTTTCGAATCTGTTTTCAACGGATATTTTGAGGTCCCGTGAGTCCAAATAACCAAGTCCCTCAAAATGGTCTGTGTATGTTAACAGTCTAACTCAAAAACGAAAAGTCGTACAAAAGCGAAACTGCATATTTAAGGTTTTTATATGTTTGGGGTGTTACAGCAACTTTATCGTCAAAATTGGATAACCCCGAAGTGGCACTTTATACCATAGACTAAACACGTTTTTACAATTCTCTCGAAAACAGCTCTTAACTATTTTGATTAAATTCATTATATCAGTGTAAAATTAAGCAGTTTTAAATAAAATATAATTTTTATTCTGATTGATGTTCTCTAACAAGGCCTTAAATAGCTAATTTTCCAATATTAGCTTCCCCTAGAGTACCTTTAATTTTTTACTTCCCTACCTATACTAGGTAAGGAAAGTATTGCAATCGGGTCAAATTTCCGACATGCGGTTTTCGACGGATCTATACGTTTCAGAGCCCCCTGAGTCCGAAAAACACAATTTTAGCCATTGGTCTGTCTGTCTGTCTGTGCCAAGATTTTCTTTAATCTTGCCAAGATTACCAAGAAGAGAATGAGAGAATAAAGATGACTAAGTGAAAATAAGAAAATCTGTTGCCCGCATCATACAATCTTCACTATTTCCTCTACTTTTAACAGAAATTATTGTTTGTCATTACTAAGCTATGCCAAAAAGTTTTTGATCAGCAATATTAGGAAGTACTGCAATTTTTACACTGATCTACCTTAAGCCGGTTTATAGTGCTTTAGTATCAAATAAATTGTACTCAAATCTTATTTTTGATCAATTTTCAGGAAAATGTATCAAGTTCAATTCTTTATTGTTCTTCATGAACATATGTGAAGATATAAAAACTTAATAGGTAGGAAAGTCGTGTGAGTGGACACACCAGATTTTTTTATTTGAAACAATTGACCATTTCACATTAATTTCTAATATAAAAGATATTTAATTATATAATATGAAAGAATTTGATAACTAACTAAAGGAGAAATAATAGATCGTAACAGAGAATAGTTGTAATTGAGGAACCAAAGGAATACGAGCGCATCCGAGCTCGCCCGAAAGATTAGAACACGCTTCCATACGTAACATGAGCTTAATATAATATGGACTCCGATAATATTATATAAATATACATATGTGTTTTTCATAAATGCTATTGTTGGTATTATTTAATATTTAATTGTATAGATTACAGCGATATAAATATTAAAATTTGTATATATAAGGGAACTTATACAAATAAAAATACCCACAATGAAATATAAATAAATATAGCATCTATAATTTTTACTTTCTCTTCCCCTTTGTCTGAAAATACTTATTTCTGCTAAGAAGAGGGTGGTAAGTGAAAGTTGTGTGCTGCACGCACTGCACCAGATTTTTTAATTAACAAAAGGAGACTAATTTTCCCAGGTAGAAAACAATTTTTTGATAAAAAGGTCAGTTTGCCCTAATTAGGGACATTATCCGATGAAAATTATCAATACAACTAGGCCATGTTCACCTATCAAGTGGATTATAATTTATAAAAGTAGTACCGAAACTATACTTGTTACATTCTGTAAATAAAATCAGAGAATAACGGGAAAAAAAGATTTAGTTTCGACTTAAGTGTCCCTCACGTTCACTCTGGCTGCTATTTAATGAGGAACAAGCTAAAGTTAAGGAAGGAAGGTCAAAACAGGCAACATTTTTACTTTCACTTACGTATATATGAAATATATAGTAAGGGTAAGTATTGTGATCGAGAAAATTTTTGAATCTGAGTTTTCAACGGAAATAGACATTTTGAGGTACCCTGAGTCGAAATGACCAAGTCCTGAAAAATGGCCTGTGTGTTTGTACGTTAGCAGTCTAGCTCAAAAACGAAAAGTCCTACGAAACTGATATTACGTATTTAAGATAGGTATATGCCTTAGATGTGACGGCAACTTTTTCCTTAAAATCGGATAACCGGAAGTGCCACTTTATATCAACGCTGAAACACATTTTTATAATTTTCTCAAAAACGGCTCTAACGATTTTGATTAAACTCGGTGTATCATTGTATAATTAAGTGGTCTTTAATATCAATTAGGTCTTATCCCCATTGATGTCACTTTACAGGGCTTAAATAACCAATGTTCATATACGTCTTCTTCTGAAGTACCTTTAATATGGTTTATTTTAAAAAGTTAATCATTTTACTTTATTCAAAGTAATGTAAAAATGCTAAATATAACTTTTGAAAGAATTTTAAAAGTTTATAGAATTTTCTAAAAAACTAAAAAAGAATCGTTAAGATCGGACAACTAGGAGGAAAGATATGGTCTCTAATTTTTTTCCTCTGAAGAGGCGAAAATTTGGATAAATTTAAAATGTACTTTTTTAATTGTTGAGACTAAAAAAACCTTTTTTCTACAGATATTTAATAAAGTATCTTTCCTAAGAACATTTTTCATAAAAAATAAGTACCTAAATTTATACCTTTATTCTCAGTTCTATATTTCAACATTGCAATCACCACCTCCGGAATCAACTTACTCATATTATGCATAGATAACTTTTTAAACTAAAAATATCACTAAAATGACATCACTTAAAAATATTGAAATTGGAGTTAGTCATTCTGAAGTTTATAAAAGCAAAGAAAGTTGTGTGGTTTATAAAAGCAGATGGAGTGACTAGATTTTTATTGCCTGTTGTCGATATATTAAATAAGAGATTTTGTAATTATAATGGTCTTAATGACTTGTTATCTGTAAGCTTTAAGCTTTAGCTCTGTTTAAAATGCACTTCAAAAAAATTTATAATAGCCCAGCATTGCCAGAAAATAATTTCTATTCATAGTAGATCGGTAAGTGAAAGTTGTGTGTTGTGCACACCAGATTTTTTTATAAATATTTCAGAATTTCAAACATTTTGACATTTGACCTCCCATCGTAACTCATCAACTGATATATCTACATCTCAAATTTTTTTCTAGTATATATAACTAGTATATATAATTTGCAAATTTATGTTAAAAATTTTTCAACCAATATTTTTGAAGAAACACCACTATTTATCTCTAATAAACCAATTTTTTTAAATGGTTTTATTTTTGCAATATTCTTGTTTTATAAAAATTATCATTTTCAGAAATAAAAAGTTCTGAACAATTACTTATAAAACAGGTATAATTTGTTTGTAAGTTAGAACAATAATGAAAAATATTAAAGGAAAAACATGAGTTTATAACCTTTTTTATTGTAGAATACAAAAATTTACTATAGAGAAATATATAGTATCTATATATCTAATATAATAAACCAAACTCATTGGTGTTTGGAAAATAAGGCGTACTCGCAAGAGCATTCAGATCTGGTCAATCACTAATAAATTTTCTTAACTTTTTTAAAAATAGTCTTCACATTAACTAATGAGATAACACTTTCTTGATAGACGTAATGTAATTCCCCGAGGGTATATCACAGAAGAACCAAACTTCGCTTAAGAGCATAGATTTACCACACCCGAGCTGCGTTAGACCAGAGGGTAGCTGGCCTGTGTTGCTATGCCACAATTATTCTCTTGGTCTCTTGCCATCTTGATGTAACCCCCTTCGCCCCATTGGCTTCCCCACGAGTTCTTGACAAGCCAATACTTCTGATTATCTTCAACACCATATCCTACGACGAGGACACCATGATCTAGGTTTTCAGAACTGCAATCGGGTTCGTAGTAGACACCCTCTGAATAAAACTGGAAGGACTGATGGGAGGCGTCGATGGCGACAGATATGGGGCCAATTGTGGCAACGGCCTGCATAAGTGCTTCTTCATCTCCTTGTGGAATGTCGACAAATCCAGAATCCGTGGCCCCGATGCTGCTTTTCCTGAACCTACAGGTTTCATCCTAAAAATGTATCAAAATTATTAGAACATATTCTTGATATTAATATAATAAAAATAAGTAAAGTATCAGTTTTTAAATAGATTTATTTATTAAGCTGTAAGTTAATAATATAAAATCATTAATATTTCATAGAAAAAGCAATCTGAATGACCAGATTGAATACAACTGGATATTGAATATACCTAACTAATGTGATATTAAAATTATTTACTAACTGCTTTGATAATAATTTGTAAAAAAAAATTAATAATAAAGAACAAAACCAAAGAGGTCAGCTGATGAGATATGACTTTTTCTTTGTAACATGAAACTCTTGTCACAAGATGTTATTTGATTATAACAGCAGCTGGTTTTTACAATGCATCACCAGATTTATTACTAAAACTAGATTAGATTTATTAATACAGGAATTGGGAAGGGGCAAAGGGAGCACCTGTCCCAGATGACAAAATTTAGAAGGCAGCAAATTTTAAGAAAAACATTTGTTAGCTCAAGAAAAAAAATGTCTGTCATTCATTAAGAATTTATTTGGAAAAGTGATCGGCACCTCCACAAACCTAGCGAGCAAGAGCAAAGCCCTTTAAGTTAGAATATTTGTTTAACTTTTTCATTTCCAGGTTGAATTAATGTTCAAATTTTTCTATTAAAAAATTACATTAACAAGTTACTGATAAATGTTTGCTCTATAATAAATCATATTAGAGTGTTCTAGCTCATAAAATAGTTAAGAAATATGATTTTAAACAATTATTGGGCAGGAGATAAATTTTGTCCAGGAGAGGTTCTTGGGCATGCCACGCCATACTTAACAAGTTAATATTATTTTAAGATATTTATTCCAAAATAAAAACCTAAAATGTTGATTTATAATTGGTGAGGAGAAGTGATAAAATGACATAGATACCTCAGCTTCATAAGGATAAGACTTCTCAGTGTCGATGCCATGATTTTCCTTGACATATTGAAAAGCATTGTCCATCAGACCTCCTTCACAGCCGTTGTTTCCATAGGCACCAGAACAGTCTACAAGGTTTTGTTCGCTGAGAGATACCAATTTTCCAGTTTTGCGGAAATTCTGGCCTTCCAGTGCACCAGTCTGCAATAACAAAAAAATTAATTGTTTTTTTTTTCCTCCTATAAAATTAAATAATCTGATCTTATTATTTTTAAAAATAAAATTATTTTTGAAAATAAAAACTATTTAAAGGGTGAAGTGATCGCGTCCGGACAGTTAGTCCACGTGCCCCCTGGATAACCCGTAAACACGGTAAGTAAACGATCACATTTATCGCCAACTCAGTCCAATATACAAAGCAAAACATGCCCAGGCCCTATCAAAAACGGCCAAATGCTCGCAAGCTTTCTAAAGACTTAGGCAAGGCTCAACTCAAAGCTATCTTTTGGAACGCAGGCGGATTAACCAAAGATAAATTCACCGAATTGAAACGTATAGTGACAGAAAGTGATGTAGACTTATGTGCGATCGTCGAAGCAGGAGCGGCAACTGAAAAACCTGAGATGCACCGAATTCACGGATACCAAACATATTTCCTCCCAAGAGCAAGACAAGTTGCATCTGGTATTATGCTAGCTGTTAAGGCATCCATCGTTACGGATATGAAAATTAGGAAACGGCAAGATGCAAGTGATAAATCCGAGGCTCTGGAAGCAAATTTGTGGTATGGCAAACGGCACTTCCGAATATTCGTAATGTATAACCCTCCTCAAAACAGACCGGACCTCACATGGTTGGAAAGGAACTGGAATGGAGAGAGTATACTATATGGAGACCTGAATGCCCCTTCCACTATATGGGGATATAATAACACTGATACTGTAGGCAGAATATTTGAAGATTTCCTTAACTCAAACCCTGCACAATATATTCGAAATGAGACAAAACGTCCAACCTTTCTTTCTTTCACTGGCAGTACTTCCTGCCCTGATGTTGTATTGGCGCACACCTCAATCTCTGATAACATAAAACATACCCTACTACCAGCTATAGCAGGTTTCGGACACAATATCCTTGTGGTTAACTTTAACCTGAATCAAAATAATAATAGCAAGACCAAAGAACCGCAACTGCCACGATGGAATTTAAAGAAAGGAGACTGGAAGCTTTTCAGAAAATTGACAGATGAACTCATCACTGATAAATTAATCATAAACGGCAACGTAGATAAAACATATACTAATATAAAAGGAAATTTATATAGGTGTGCCCTGAAGACTATTCCCCGAGGAACGGTACGAAAATATCGTCCTTTCTGGAATGAAGAACTGCAAAAGCTAAAAGAAGAAAGAGATGATTTTAGAAAAAGAGCTGAGAGCTCCAAAAATCATGCAATTATAAGTTTACTTAAAGGAAAACAGCTATATTTAAAAGAAAAGTTATTTCAGCTAAACAAAACTCATTTAGAACGTTCCTACAGAAAATGGACTTTAGAAAAGATGGAGTTAAGGCACATGAATTTCTTTCAAAAATAAATAATAAATCAAACTTAGCAAACCATCCAATAACTTTCGATGGGAAAACAATAAGCAAGCTAAAAGAAATAGCTAACTCCTTCTGCAAACACTATTCAAAAGTAAGCAATTACAAGCCAAAAAAAGAAAACGGAAATCCAGTCACAAACTCCACACATTGTTGTGTAATGAGTGAAGAAGATTATATACTATTCTGGGGAGATATCCAAACGCAAGAACTAAATGATGCTCTTACTAAATCTAAGAAAGGTAAAACCGCAGGCCCAGATGACATATTGTCGGAATTTCTTATACACCTGGGGGATATGGCCAAAGAAACAGTACTAAAATTTTTAAATGATGTCTGGAAAACACATATTCCGTGTGAATGGAGGAAAGCAGAAGTGGTACCAATCTTGAAGAGAGGAAAAAAAGGAGACATGCCGGAAAATTTCAGACCCATTGCATTAACAAGTACTTTCTCCAAGCTCTACGAGAGAATCGTTGCAGAAAGACTTGAGAAATGCATAGAGAAATATGATCTAATATCTTCTAAACAAGCTGGCTTCAAGAAAAATCGAAACACAATTGAACAAATAGCTCGTCCAACACAAGAAATAAAAAACGGCTTCCAAAGAAAACAGAGCACCCTAGCAATATTCGTAGATTTTAAGACGGCATATGATAGAGTTTGGAGAAAGAAGCTAGTGAGTAAGCTTGTTGACAAGGGAGTCACTGGATATCTGCTCAAGACTATATCTTCTTTCTTACATCAAAGGTTTATAAGGGTGCGATATAAAAACGTTGTCTCGACATATCGCCAAACAAAACAAGGCCTCCCACAAGGCTCGGTGCTGAGTCCCTTCCTGTTTAACATCATGATTGATGATATCACGGAACACACTGAAACTACTCCGGGTACAAATGCCCTGCTGTACGCAGATGACCTCGTCATTTGGGCAACAAGTAGTGACTTTAAAGGGCTAGAAAATCACATGCAACATGTACTTAAATTACTAGAGAAGTGGGCCAATGAAAACGAGATGATCGTTAATTCCGAAAAGACGGAATTGCAACTTTTTACCCTCTCTACCAAATCACACCATATCAATTTGAACCATAATAACGAAGAGCTCAAACGCACAGAAGAAGCTACATATCTTGGAGTGAAATTGGATAAAAGACTCTCTTGGAATAAGCACATTGAAAAACAAATAGAACAGGCTTCAAAACGACTTTCGTTAATACAGAGGTTAGGTGGCTCAAAATGGGGAGCAACGGGGGATGTTATGGCTCTTACCTACAAAACATATGTCCGCCCTGTTATTGAATATGGAGCAGAACTTGTTATCACTGCTTCGGACGCGATATTACACAAGCTCGACATAATCCAGAATCAAGCCCTTAGACTCGTGACAGGAGGGAGCAGATCAACCCCAATATCTGCGCTAGAATTACAAACAGGCATAGTACCTCTTGAGACACACCGGGAGCAACTGGCCATTACGCTCTATGAAAGGCTAAAACGTCTTAAGATCAACTACTGGAGTACCTATGAACCCGCACCTGAACGCCTTAAAACTCAAATTACTTTTACTAAGGCAGTGGAAGATTTGATAGAAAGAAAAGGACTAGAATTAGCTGAAAGGGAGCCACTCCCGTCATTGACACAAGTTCCATTCACCAGCCAATTTGTTGTTCACTGTGATCTTCTTCAGAATGTTTCTAAGGATACAACACCAATTTACGCACAAAAGGCTATAACCCTAGAAACCATCGGAAAACGATTTCCAGAGACAGAATGGCTCCATGTATATACAGATGGTTCTGCACTGGAAGCACGCAAACATGCAGGAGCTGGTGTTTATTCAAAGGAGTTTCAACTTGCCGCCCCGGTCGGAAAGGTAGCCACAAACTTTGAAGGGGAAGTGAAAGCCATTCTCTTAGGCCTTGAGATGTTAACTGAACGGAAAGACAAGAAAGTGGCTTTCTTTGTTGACTCACAGGCAGCCATTTTATCCCTAAAAAAATGGATATAGTATAAATCCAAATGTTCCTAAATGCCATCAATATTTGAACCAACTAAAGGAAAATGGGACAGAAGTCGCTTTCCAGTGGATACCAGGCCATTGCGGGCTCCACGGAAATGATGAAGCCGATAAACTGGCCAGAATAGGTTCTGGAATGATCCAACCCGATATTCCTCTGACCATGGATTCAACAAAAAGAATCATAAAGCAGACCCTCCAAAGTTCACTGAAAGCGAAATATGTACAAATAATTGAAGGGAAACAATGGAGTGGATTGCTGGAAGAAAGTGGCAGGATTCCTAGAGACCTCCCTAGAGGGCAAGCCGTGGCATGCTTTAGAATGCTGACAGGCCACGATTTCCTTCAGAAGCACCTCCACCGCATCGGTGTAAAAGATAGCCCGACATGCCCTCTATGTTCCTTAGACATAATGGCAGGAGAACATCTGGATACATGCCCTGCATTACAGGACATAAGATGTTGCTTTAATGAAATGGACAGCTATTATACACGGAGAGCAAAGTTGTACTGGACTGCAAGAGCACGCATGGCTAACGAAGCAGGCGTTACTTAGGCGTACGAAAAAAAAAAAAAAAAAAAAAAAAAAAATTTTAATTCAATGATTCCGAATCACAAGCCTAATAGAGGAAAACGAATTTTAGTAATACTGTACAAGTGTCACTCCACTTAGTTGAGTGGCACAAGATCCTGTTCAAAATCCCATTTACAGCGTGATCATGTGATCTTGGCTCATTCGTAAAAGTGGAGAGACACTTGTACGGTGGTTTCCAAATTTTGCTTTAATAAAAATAAATTGATTGTTTAGTGGCAATATCATTTATCTTTACTTTTTAGTCAAATTGAATAAAGGAATGAAAAATTCTACATGAGACAGAAATTAAATTTTAGTTAATAATGGGAAAAATTGAACAAGAATGTCTTCTGTACCTAAAACGCAAATAAAAAATAAACAAGCTCGACAACTTCAAACACAGCTGGAAGAAAGGGAAAGTAATACAATACAGATCTTCCACTGTATATTTAGGTGTCATAGAGGAATTTGATTTTATATAATTTGTCCTGATGATGCCTGAACCGGTGAAATGTTGATGGGTAATTTTTTTTTTTTTTTTTACTTGTGTTTCCAAGCTGTGTATTTAAGTTTTTCCAATTATAACCTAACAGTAAAATTAAATAATTAAAGCTTAAAAATTAAGTTAATTATAAAAGCATTATAATTTACTATTTGGTTTATAGATGAGCACTTAAATCTATAAAAAGATTTGAAAAACAAATTTCAAGAATATTTTTGCGATTTCAAACAAAATATTTTATAACCTAACTATTTTTTTCTTCCAGAAAAATATAGTTTTACTAATATGAGATACAGCCATGTAACGTTGAAATTTTGCTTGATATTCAAAATGAACAATAAAAGTTTTAAATTTAATCTGCATTGCACTGAAGATAATAACTAGAGACCAGATCTTCGTGCAGTAAAAATCCGAAAAACGTGCAGTGAAAATCTCAAAATGTGCAAAATCGTGCAGTGAAAACCCAAAACGTATAAAATTGCCTAATTTATAATTGAAAATGT